TTATTAGTTAGTTAGTTTAGTTAGTTGTAGGTAAGTACGTTACGTACGGGTAAGGTAGGTAACGTAAGTAAGTTAGTAGTAGTATAGTACGTAATATACTCTCTCTCTCTCTCTCTCTCTCTCTCTCTCTCTCTCTCTCTCTCTCTCTGTCTCTATGATATTGGGGTTCATAATCCTAGCCTAGCAGTTCTGGACTCTTTTTATCAGCAATTTGGGGTTCTAATTCATGAAGTTGCACGCTTTGAATCTGTATCCTTAGCACCTTATGGTATAGTTTGTTAGTATATTATTATCCCCGTGTTCCTATTAACCTGGAGAATGCATTCTTTCTTTTCAGGTGAAACCTGTTGACCTAGACAGGGTCTTATCCAAAGGGGCCTACATGCTCCTCTATTCAAGGTAAATTGTAGCTTAAATGGATTTCCTGTATTTCTGTTCTTTGGTCTATTCTAAGATAAAAGTTCGCTTAAACAGGTTCTCACCACGCTTGCCTAGCTTGATTGACTGCTCTAAGAGCAAGAAGAGCAGTGTGAGCCCAACAGAACCTGTCGGAACCAACCGGCGAACAAAGATCCCGAGCCCCATGGTTCCAAAACCAAACCCCTCACGAGTGTTTGCTGTGCCTGAGGAGCGCACCCACTGGGTGCACCCTTATTATGCTACCAACACGGAGATGATCGACCTGTTTGATGAGGAGCTCCTTCCTAGGGTAACAAGCATTTCCATTTAAGAGAAAATAATCTTTTCAAAGTGTCCTGAGCTTGAAAGAAATGATGCTTTTTTTATTTCACAGTTCCTCCCACCCACCTTTTGTATTGATACTTGAATGTAAGTTCATGAGAAAAATTTAACTTACCACAAACTGTCAGTGTACGGTGAATGGCACATGGCTGGGGCATCCACCGTTCATTCTTGATGCTGTATTCAGCCAGATGTTCCTTGTCAGGAGCTGTGGCTAATCTACTGGAGCTGTGGCAAATCTCTTTTGTCCTTTGTTGGGAATAAATTGTGGATGTCCCAGCTGTTATGCTGTGTAGTGCACACTGGCTGTTTTTGGTATAATTTATCTTTTAATGGATGTCAGTATAATGAAAACATATCGCAAGCAAAGATTTTTGAGATTTAAATAATAAGGAAAGTGATCATTTGCTTCTAGGTTTGACACTGTGCTCAGGACACCAATCTCCACCATTGTTGGTCTACCCATAAACGGTGGATTGTAATGGGGAAAAAAAACTATGGATGGTGCAGAGGTTCCATAAATCTGTTCAAGGTCTGTCATTGGCTGTCAGGTGGAGCTGCAGTTCAGCTCTACTGTCTGTTGCAGTCTATGGATGGTGTAGATCCTGTTTCTACATGATCTTGTAGATCATGTCTTACATGATCTTCCGGAAACTTTTTTTTGAAAAAGTTAATTATCTTTGCTTTTTTTTAAACATTTCAAGTTTTTAGATTTCTTATTTTTAAATTTCCCCTGAGCTTATTCCTCCATTTTCCTCGAATTTCCCAATTAAAGAAACAAAATCATTCAAGAGTGATATAACGACACAAAATTTTGGATGCCTTTCAAGGAATTAAATTAGTGAGAGAACCTCCTATGGTTTGTGACTAATGTGGCGATTGATACCTCTGCAGAGGATGGTGGGTACCCCAAGAATGGATTTCTCAAGTGACAGCTCATCCCTCTTCAGTGGATGCTCTGACGAGACCTCTTGGAGCACCGAGAGCACCCGTGACTCCACAAGCACTGATGATCTTTCTGAGTACATATTTGGTGACTCCTCTGGCCACCATCCCCATTGGAATCGACATGATGACTCTTCTGATGCCTCATCCCCTTCCCCCACCACTCGTTTTCACCCAAAATCTTCTTCAAATTTAGCCCCAAGAAATGGGTCTTCACCCGAGAGAGGAACACCTTCTCTTTCTTTCAGTTTCTCAAACCAGATGACCATGGATGGTAAGGGAAATTCCTCTCCCTTTTTGTATTCTGACCCAACAAATACTTCTAATACTAACCATTATAGGAAGTGGATAGCAGATAGTAGCAAGAATGAGATTGACCAAGAAGGGTTGTACACTCAGAATTTTGATGATGCATTATTGAGTAGGGAAAGAACAACTCAAGGTTATAATTATTGAAAGCTGTGAGTTATATATAAAGGAAATAAGAATGTATCAAATCTCTTTTGCTAGCTCGGGTCATTTTCATTGTTTTTACACCAGCATTTTACGCATGTTGGTGAGGCTAAAGCGACGTTTGGATGTGCCAACTGTCGGACTCACATGTCAAAGGAAATAGCCCAGTTTACCTTCATGGGCAATTTTGAGTCATTCTCGCTAGAAATTTTGTCCAGAGCACACATGGGGTATAGGAAATCCATAAGATAGCTCGAAAATCCATTTACATCATTCTTTATGAAATTTGTACTTCATTGACAAATGTATACATTTAGGTGCACCTCAAAATTCATTATAAAAGGTTGTTTTGACATTAGAAAATTCTCTAATTGATTGTCTTGACATCAAGATGTATGAATAGCCAAAAATAAAAAATAAAAAAAGATTTTGGTTCTCGAATATAGTACATTTTGCGGCATTGATGCAGGCGAATTTGAGAGAGGGTCTAATCAGCAAGAAACAAGCCAGAATTTGAGAGAGGGTCTAATCAGCAAGAAACAAGCCAAACACAAGAGCAAGTTGAAGAAACCTAGATTTTCTTTTTTATGCCGGGTTTCAAAAGCCTTAAAAGTTTTTTTCTTTTTCAATTTTTAGAAATCATGGGTAATTGATCCTCTCAGGCCCTACACGCCTTATATAATATAATGAAATGCTCAAGGATATGTAATGTTCATACAAATGATGAAAATGATCTTATATATTTTAACTAAATTTAAATTTTGTAATGATAAATTTACCCTTGTGAATAGTACATGTGAATTGTAATCATGAATAGTATTTATGAATAGTTTTCATGAAATAAACAAAAAAAAATATCTAAATCCTAGAATTAAAAATCTAGAAATAGCTTTAAAAGCAAACTGTAATAAAAAATCTTTTAAAGTTGAATAAAAATAAAGAATAAAAACAAATTTTCCTTTCATCATATGCCGTTGGTTGGAAAAAAGTCGTTATCGAGTTTTGAAGTGTGCTAAGATGAAATTGGCATTAATCCGACAACATTCTTCAAGTCGAATATTGTAAACATGATCTTGGGAGTTGTGAGCTATTGCATTGATGAAAACACGATGATTATGCATTAGAACTGAGAAACCCTCAAGGAAATGATCACTATATGTTGATAGAATATTTTTAATCACATAAACTTGTTGAAATTGCATAACTTCAGCTATGTAACACTGTTGCATTTACTCAGGCTTAGCTCTAGAATACACCACGAGGTCATCTTTGAGATCATCAATTAAATGAAAAACTTCATCCACTTCCAAAATATCTTCACAATCAGCGTTATCCGTATTATAGATCGGATTTCTTAAGAAATCTTGTTGTTCATCTGAGCATATATCAAAGATTGATGGTGAATTCCAATCTACAATTTGCTAACTTTCCATGCAATCTGTGTTAAAATAAAAAATTTCATCATTCAAATCGAAAATCCTAAAGTGATTTTCCCCACATCTATGTCTTTTGTCAATATTCTCATCGTCCGACTCCCTACTCGGAGTGCACGAGTGAAAATGCTTGTACTCGAGGTCCTCTTGGGCTGAAAGATTACCATCAGGCCCATTATTGAGGCTGTTGTACTTGCCTTTCAAGTTTTTCAATTATGTTATCTCGGCGATCACAGAGTGAATCTACGAAAATCCACTTTTGATAGCCCCTTCTCGTTATCATAGGTTCGTTGAAATCACAAATCTTAGGCAAATAATCAACAAAAATTATTGAAATAAACAATATCTAAGTTATTTTGACAAAACTTTGGACAAAATCAATAATCCTTAGACCCCACTATAACTTTCTCTTTTTGTTGTTGACCTAGGGAACCAAAAAAGTGGTGTTACAATACTCTGTATGTGCTACAGTAACTTTTGTGCTTGCTATAGTGACTTACGTGTAGATCTCGGATTCTGATACCACTTTTGATGTACAAAAATTTGAGAGAAACGATAAAATCACCAAGAAACAAGCCAAACACAAGCACAACTTGAAGAAAACCTAGGGTTTCTTCTCTATACCCCAAGCTAAGGTTCCAAAAGCTTAAGCTTTTTTTCATTTTCAATTTCTAAAAATCATGTGTGATTGATCATCTCAAGGCTCC